GTAACTTGAACCTTGATGACACAGTGGATTAGTCTTTTAGCAGCCCATGAAGAGTAGTGTGAACCCACCAGCTCTGTAAAGATACACAGCCCTGGAAATTCCGTGGAGAATTGTTCTATAGGGTCACTATGAGTTGGAATTGACTTGATAGCAGTAGGTTATTATATAAATGTGCTCCAATTTTATTCATTATTGATGAATATTTGTTGTTCTTATTCTTTGGAGCCATCAAATCAGTTCTGACCCATAGCAACCCTGGGCACTGCCCAGTCCCGTGCCATCCCCACCGTTGTTCCTGTGCTCGAGCCCATTGTTGCAGCCCCTCTGCCCACCCATCTTGTTCGAGGGCTTCCTCTTTTTCACTCCCCCTCCACCAAGCATGGTGTCCTTCTCCAGGGAGTCATCTCTCCTGATAACAAGTCTAAAATATGTTTAAGATGAAATGTCCCCATCCTTGCTTCTAACAAGCACATGGGCTCGGTAAATATGAATATTTAGGTTACTTCTAATTTTTTTTATCCTATGCATACTACATAAATATATATTTCCTGTGACATGTCTGAAAGATTTCCTTTTTTTTTAATCGTTTTATTAGGGGCTCATACGACTCATCACAATCCATACATCCATCCATTGTATAAAGCACATTTGTACATTCATTGCCCTCATCATTCTCAAAACATTTGCTCTCCACTTAAGCCCCTGGCATCAGGTCCTCATTTTTCCCCTCCTTCCCCACTGCCCCCTCCATCATGAGCCCTTGATCATTTATAAATTATTATTTTGTCATATATTGCTCTGTCCTATATCTCCCTTCACCCACTTTTCTGTTGTCCATCCCCCAGGGAGGAGGTCACATATAGCTCTCCTTATAATCGGTTTGAAAGACTTCCTAAGGTATATGTACTAAAGCATTGGTGGATTGTAGAATATGTGTTCTATCAGCTTTAATTTTCACTCCATTAGAATTGTGGAAATCATAGCAAGTACTTGATAACAAGCCTACCAAACCAAATCACACCTGTTGTCGTTGAGTGGATGCTAACTCATGGTGACCCTGCAGGACAGACTAGAACTGTTCGAGAGGGGATTCAAGGCCCGAAGTTTCACATAAGTAAAATTGCCACGTTTTCCTGCTGTCGGGTAGCTGGTAAGTGCAAGCCTCTCCTTGGTTCACAGTCTCACATTTCCCCGTTGTGCAAGCAGGGCTCTGTGAGGACGGGTGCAATTATGTTGTTGTTCAGTGCTGTTGGGTTGGTGCCGATGCATAGCGACACCCACATACAGTGAAGGAAACGCTGCCCGATCCTGTGCCGTCTTCACAAATGCTCTTATATTTGAGCTTATTGTTACAGCCACTGTACCAGTTCATCTTGCCAAAGCCTTCCTCCGTTCGCTGTCCCCGCCACGTTACCAAAATGATTTTAAAAATCATGTTATTGGGGGCTCTCACAGCTCTTATAACATCCCATACTTCAATTGTATCAAGCACATTTGTACAAATATTGCCATCATCATCTCAAACATTTTCTGCTTGAGCCCTTGGTATAAGCTCTCCCTCTCCCCTCCTACCTTCGTGAATCCTTGATCAATTATATATTGTTAATATTATTATTTCATATTTTACACTGTCCATTGTTTCCCTTTACCTACATGTCTGTTATTTGTACCCTTTGGTTGGAGGTGGGGGGCTGTATATCCAACCTTGTGATGAGTTCCCCCTTCTCCCGCGAAATGTCTTTTCCCAGGAACTGATCTCTCCTGATAACATGTCCGAAGTACGTGAGACCAAAGTCTTGCCATTTTTGCCTCTAAGGAACAGTCTGGCTTTATTTCTGCCAGAGAGACGTGCGTATTTTTTTGGCAGTCCAAAGCACTTTCAATATTCTTAGCTAGCACTGTAATTTAAATGCATTGATTCTTCTTTGGTCCTCCTGATATAGTGTCTAACTTTCCAATGCATATGAGGCCATTGTAAACACCATGGCTTGGTATTTTGCACCTTAGTCCTCAAAGTAACCTTGCTCTTCAAAATGTTATTGAGGTCTTGGGCAGCAGATTGACACAATGCAGTGCATCATTTGACCTCTAGATGACTGTTTCCATGGGTACTGACTGTATAAAACCCAAACTGACTGCCATCTAGTCGATACTGACTCATAGTTACCCTATAGGACAGGGTAGACCTGCCCCACGAGTTTCCAAGACTGTTTATGGGAGTAGAAAGCCTCATTAAAAAAATTATTTTATGGGGGGGGG